GAGATTAAAAGATACCTGTAAACAAATGAAAGCAAAGAAACATCTTACCAAAACCGCTGGGAGCCCATGAAAGCAGTAATGAGAGGGGAATCCATATCTCTACGAACATACATGAAGAAAATGGAAAGATCACAATTTAACAGCCTAACAAATCACCTAAGGAAGCTGGAAAAGCAAGACCACCAAAACCCTAATTTAAGCAGAAGAATCCAGATCACCAAAATAAAAGCCCAAATTCAGGACACAGAAGACAAAAATATAATACAAAAAAATCAATAAAACCAAAAACTGATTTTTTGAAAGGAAAAACAAGATTGATGGACCCCTAGCTAGATTGACCAAGAAAAGCAGAGAAAAAGCCCAGATAAACACAAATAGAAATGCAAAAGATCAAATCACAACTGACCCTGAAAAAATACAAAAGATTATCAGAGATTACTATGTACACCTGTATGGAAATAAACGTGAAAACCTAAATGAAATGGAGGACATTCTTACATCATATAACCTTCCCACGTTGAAACAGGAAGAAATTGAGACCCTAAATAGACCAATAATAACTCAGGAAATTGACTATGTCATAAGAAAACTACCTACCAAAAAAAGCCCTTTCCAGGAGAATTCTACAAAACATACAAGGAAGAGTTGATACCATCTAATAGAAAGTATTCCAGGCAATTGAGAAAGATGGAACTCTCCCCAAATAATTTTATGAAGTGAACATCATACTGATACCCAAACCAGGTAAAGATCCAACAAAGAAGGAGAACTATAGGCCAACATCCTTGATGAACATAGATGCAAAAATCCTCAACAAGATTCTAGCAAACTGGGTTCAATAACACATCTCAAAAATCATCCACCATGATCAGTTAGGCTTCATCCCCAGAATACAGGGCTGGTTCAACATCCACAAGACAATAAACATAATGAAATACATCAACAGAGATAAAAACAAAAACCACATGATTATATCATTAGATGCAGAGAAAGTTTTTGATAAAATCTAGCATGCTTTCTTGATAAAAAACTCTCGAACTATTAGGCATAGATAGAATATAAACGGAAAACCAGAACAAGACAAAGACACCCACTCTCCCCCCTCCTGTCCAACATAGTATTGGAAATCCTAGCTAGAGCAATCAGACAAGAGAAGGAGATCAGGGGTATCCAAATAGGAAAAGAGGAAGTTAAGTTATCCCTTTTTGCAGATGACATGATTCTATACCTCAAAAATGCAAGAGAATCTGTCAAAAACCTCCTTGCACTAATAAAGAACTTTGGCAAAGTCTCAGGGTATAAAATCAATGTGCAAAAGACAGTCGCATTTCTATACACCAACAATAAACAAACAGAAACTCAAATAAAAAGCACAATCCCATTCACAATAGCCACCAAAAAATTAAATACCTTGGCATCTTCCTAACCAGAGATGTGAAAAACCTTTACAACAAAAACTACAAAACACTGCTCAAAGAAATCAAAGATGACACAAATGAATGGAAAAATACTCCATGCTCATGGATTGGAAGAATCAACATGTTAAGACGTCCATTCTACCTAAAGTAATCTATAGATTTAACACAATACCCATCAAATTACCAGCAGCATTCTTCTCAGACCTGGAAACAACAATGCAGGAATTTATATGGAAACATAAATGACCATGAATCCCAAAACAAACCTTGGCAAAGAAAAAAATAAAGCGGGAGGTATCACACTTCCAGATTTTAAACTTTATTATAAAGTGACAATAATCAAAACAGCTTGGTATTGGTACAAGAACAAGCATGTAGACCAATGGTACAGGATAGAGATTCCAAAAGCAAGATCTCAATTTCTTAACCAACTCATCTTCGACAAAGCCTCCACCACCAACCACTGGGGAGAGGAGAACCTATTCAATAAATGATGCTGGAAAAACTGGCTGATTGAAACAAGACCCCTACCTACAACCATACAGAAAAGTCAACTCTAAATGAATCAAAGAACTAATCATAAAACCTCAAACTATACGAACCTTAGAAAATGCAGGAGACACCCTTATGGAAATTGGAACTGGCAACCAATCCCTGATCGAAACCCCAAGTGCCCATGCTATAAGTGATAAGATAGACAAGTGGGATCTCATCAAACTGACAAGTTTCTGCAAAGTCAAAGAAACCATCAAGAGAGCAGGGAGACAGCCCATGGACTGGGAAAAAATATTTGCCAACTGTATATCTGACAAAGGACTAACATCTAGGATCTACAAGGAACTCAGACATGCCAAAAAGAAAAAAAACAAACAGCCCCATTACAAAGTGGGCAAAAGATATGAATAGGCACTTCTCAAAAGAAGACATATAAGCAGCCAACAGATACATGAAAAAATGCTCAGCCTCACTAGTCATCAAAGAAACACAAATTAAAACCACAATGAGATACTACCTAACTCCAGTCAGGATGGCCATCATCAATAACTCAAAAAACAACAGATGCTAGAGAGGATGCGGGGAAAAGGGAACACTTCTTCACTTTTGGTGGGAGTGTAAACTAGTACAACCTCCATGGGAAACAGTTTGGCGATTCCTAAAAGGTCTAAAATTCGACCTTTCATACAGCCCTGCAATCCCCATGCTGGGAATTTAGCCGGAGAAACTCAAACCACTCTATGAAAAAGATACCTGCACACCCATGTTTATTGCAGCATTGTTCACAATAGCAAAAACATGGAACCAACCATGCTGCCCATCGAAAGAGGACTGGATAAAAATATGTAGTACATATACATGATGGAATATTACGCAGCCATAATGAAGGACAAAATTATGAACTTCACAGCAACTTGGATGGACTTGGAATCTATAATGCTGAATGATCTATCACAGAAACAAAGAACTGAGTATCACATGTTCTCACTCATAAGTGAATCTTGAACAATTATCGTAATACTATAAGAAAAGGTTTGTCAGTAGTGGGAAACTGCCAGGGAGGGAGGGGACGGGATTGGCAGTAGTGGTATTCTGCCAGGTGAGGGGTGGGGCACAACTCATCAGCAAGGGTACCTGCATAATGAACATTTGTATACTTAACCACATCTTTAGAAGAAAAAATTTTTAGCACGCGCCTATAGTTCCAGCTACTTGGAAGGCTGAGGCGGAAGGATCGTTGGAGCCCAGCAGGTCGAGGCTGCGGTGGCCGGGAGCGTGCCACTGCACTCCAGTCTGGGTGACAGAGTGAGACTCCAACTCCAAAAAGTAAAAAAGAATAAAAAATTAAAAATAAATAAATAAATAAAGGAATGCCGAGCATGGTAGCTCACACCTGTAATCCCAGCACTTTGGGAGGCAGAGGCAAGAGGATTGCCTGAGCTCGGGGGTTTGAGACCAGCCTGGGCAACTTGGTGAGAACTTGTCTCTAAAATAAACCAAAAAAGTAGCCGGGCATGGTGGCACATGCCTGTAGTTCCAGCTACTTGGAAGGCTGAGGTGGAAGGATCGTCTGAGCCCAGCAGGCCAAGGCTGCGGTCGCCATGAGCATGTCACTGCACTCCTCTGGCCTGGGCGACAGAGTGAGACTCCTACTCAAAAAACAAACAAACAAACAAATAAGTAAAGGAACGACAACCAATCCATTTCATCCTAACATTTAAGCTCTAAAAATTCACAAGGCCGGGCATGGTGGCTCACACCTGTAATCTCAGCACTTTAGGAGGCGAAGTGGGAGGATCACCTAAAGCCAGGAGTTCAAGATCAGCCTAGGTAACAAAATAAGAGAGCCTATCTCTACAAAAAATAAAATAAAATAAAATAAAATAATCTAGGTGTGGTGGCACATTCCTGTAGCCCTAGCTACTCAGGAGATTGAGGCGAGATGATTGCTTCAGCCCAGGAGTTTGAGGCTGCAGTGGACTATGATCATGGCATTGCACTCCAACATGGACAAGAGTGAAACCTCATCTCCTAAAAAAATACACAAAGATATACACAGTAGTAACCAGGGGCCAGGTGCAGTGGCAGGAAGATCGGTAAGGCCAAGAGTCTGAGGCCAGCCTGAGCAATATAGCAAGAGCCTGTCTCTACAAAAGTCATTTTTTTAAAAATTAGCCAGGTATGGTGGTGTGTGCCTAGAGTCCTAGATACTAGAGAGACTGAGGCAGGAGAATCCCTTGAGCCCAGGAGTTTCAGCCCAGAGAGCTCTGATTATGCCACTGCACTCCAGCCTGGACAACACAGTGAGATCCTGTATAAAAAATTAAAAAAGCACTAGAAAAACTCAGAAGATAATCTTGACCATCCTCCCTCCAATATAAGAGATCAGAGCAATATGTTGCTTCTAAATTTTCACCATTTCCACTGTGTTTGCCTTGGTTCAGTGCAAACTGGCGGCCATGAGGTTGTATTCAGCCTGAAAAAAAGTGTCTTATGGCCAAGCTCGGTGGCTCAGCCTGTAATCCCAGCACTTTGGGAGGCTGAGACGAACGGATTGCCTGAGCCCATGGGTTCAAGACCAGCCCGGGCAACTTGGCAAGACCTCGTCTCTACAATAAATCAAAAATTAGCCAGGCATGGTAGCATGCACCTGTAGTTCTTGCTACTCGGAAGGCTGAGGCGGAAGGATTGCCTGAGGCTGGCTGGTCGGCCATGAGCATGCCACTGCTCTCCAGCCTGGGTGACGAAGAGTCCAACTCAAAAAAAAAAAAAAAGTGCCTTGTTTGGCTACACATCATTCTTTGAATTGAATTTAAGGACAGAGGAACCTCAGAGGCTGCCTCAATCCACCCAGATAATCGCAGGTACCTTGGAAAGTGCCACTTGGCTTGGCTGTGAGGAGCAGGGAGCCAGTAGGTGGCCTCTTCCTGTGCTCAGGCCCTCCCAATGAGGGACAGAAACCTTGTTCCTCCCCATCTAGACAGACTCCATCATCCCCTTACAGACCCCCTGAAGTGCCAGTGGACAGCTGAACATGTGACAATTGTACAATCAATTCCTGTTCAACTGAACATGAGCAGTACATACCCACTCTTGCATTTTTCAATCTCTGCCACACTGGGTTTCTTCTTTGAAGGCTTACGATTTTTTTGTCCTTTAACAGCTGAAAGGATAACAGTTCATTTGTACCCTGAAAACTGATACCAGCAAGAGATTGACAGAAAGGTAAACCCAAGAGAAGTCACCACAGCCAAGCCCAGAGCAACATCTCTAAATAAAATCATCTGAAGCCTGCTACTGCTACCTTCATCACTCTGATCAATCTCGCCCCTCTGAATCACACAGCTGCCAGCAGCGAGAGCTGGGCAGGATTCTGTCCCCGGCGCCCAGGACTGCAAGGGTACAGGAGTGCACTGTTAGAGGCTAGACAATGTGGGCAACTGAGGCGTACACAGTTGAAGGGATGATACAGCACAGTTCATATGCTTGCTCTGAGGAGTGGTTCATATCCCAGGCAGTACCTTCGCCCCAAACCAAATCTTTCTCCCTTTGTTTGGTACTCATCATGCTGACTGATCTATCCACAGACTTATGTGTCAATAGTTAGTGTCATTCACTTCTTTTAATAATTTATTGAACCTCTATTATGTGCCAAGCACCAGGCTAGACTCTGAGAGAGACTAAAAAATGAGGAAGAGTCCTCCTATGAAGAGAGGCTCACAGTCTACAGGAAGGGGGGGATTCGGGAACATATTATAATACGGTGTGGTTAGTGTTTTTGTAGATATGTGCTTGAGAACCCAAAAGGGAGGCTCACTCTGACTTACGGCTTCATAGAGAACAGCTGGGCTGAGTCCTAAGAAAAATGGGCTGTCCTCAGGATAACAGGTACAGGGAAAAAGCACTCCCTGCCAGCAGAACAGTGAATACTAAGATGTGGAAGCTTAAGAAAAACCTGGGGCATCCACCCCATTTCCAGAACCATCCTTTCACTGGGATGACTGCCTCCCATAGCACCAGGAAGTTAATGAAACGGCACAGGGTTGGCAGGCAGGACAGGCAGACCTGACAAGACAGTCACACAGGGGTAAGCTAGGCACATTCAGTGGGACAAGCATACTTGACATTACTGGCTTACCAGGCGGCACACATATATTTTTGGTTTTTTCCTTCCTTTTCTTTGGTTGCTTCACCACAGGTACAGACTTTTCATCAGTTGGCAACTTTCTATTTGAAATTTCAAGGTTAGCCTCAGGATCATTTGGTGGTTGGTGGAGATTTCCACCAAAATCCTGCTCACCAGTATCATCCAATGAATTGCACTGGGAGACAGCAAACTCATCCAGCTCTTTTTCACTTGAAGCAATTCGGCCCCGGTCACACAAATCCCCTTCTATTAGCATGGGAACCTCCAAATCATTACTGTCATCATCATCATCACTAATAATTATTGGCGGTTCTAGGATGGTAAGATTCATGTAAGCATCAGATGTCTCCAGAATCTCATCTGAAATTTAAGATACACAATCATATATAAATACATTCCTTCCACCTCCTCCTTATACACCAAACTGCAGCAGATTAATGAGCATACATTAAACAAGCCAGGAACTCTGACATTTTGAATCAGTTAAGAATGGGAGCCGTGCTCGGTGGCTCAGCCTGTAATCCTGCGCTTTGGGAGGCCAAGGTGAGTGAATTGTCTGAGCCCGCGGGTTCGAGACCCACCTGGGCAACTTGGCAAGACCTCATCTCTGCAATAAATCAAAAATTAGCCGGGCATGGTAGCGCACACCAGTAGTTCCAGCTACTTGGGAGGCTGAGGCGGAAGGATCACCGGAGCCCAGCAGGTCGAGGCTGCGGTGGCCGGGAGCAGCCACTGCACTTCAGTCTGGGCGACGGAGTGAGACTCCAACTCAAAAAAAAAAAGAATGAGATATTTTTTATTCTTTCCCCTCTATTTCTTTTTTATTTTACTGAGAGCAGGGACAGATAAAATAGTGACCAAAGTCCAGCCACAATTTTCAAATTACATTCTCTGAGTAACATGATGTAGTTGCTCAGGGCTTCCCAAACACAGGTTTGCAGACTTATATATTTTTACTGGTCCACAGCAAAATAAGAGAATTAGAATAATAAAGTTGTGTTTTCTTCCCCCATTAAGTTAAATTTCTATAATTTAAAGGACTATTCTTTATTTTATGATTATGTTCTAGCCAAACTTTCGGTGTTCTTTTTTTTTTTTTTTTTTTTTGAGTTGGAGTCTCACTCTGTCGCCCAGACTGG